TTCTGATGAAGGGTCTAGGCCCGAAACGTCAGCCTTCCTGCTCCTCTGATGCTGCTTGGCCTGCTGTGTTCATCCAGCTCTACACCTTGTTATCGCAAAAAAAATAATTTGTTGGTTTCGAGAATTTCATGATAGGAGGCCAACAGGGAAGAGAGGTGAATGAATAGTGACATTACAAATTGGTTGCATGGGTTGAGTTATAATTAAAATGTCAGTGAAGAACGAATTCCTTTGAAAACACAGTGGTTAGAATGACCCTAAAATGCCCTTACAACACATTTGCAGTCTGCTGTATATCAATGTTCATCTCGTACACAGTGCCGAGTGCTGCTATCACAAATGATTCTGCTCATTTCAGACTGGTGCTGGGAATGTCATCATCTAATTATTTGTTTTGCTTTACAAACTAAATCATTCAGTGAAAAGGTCACTGATGCAACAGTGACGAAATAGTGGATTGGCTCGTCCTGGCATTTTCTCTAGGAATGCTGGCTTGTTTTAGTCCCTGTGGAAAGACTTCCTCACAAACCACGTGAAAGTGCAGAGATGGTGGGCAGGCTTGCCAGGAAGGGATCAGGTGATCCATCAAGCCTACTCCTTGTTCATGATTCTCAGACTGAGCTCAGAACAAACCTGTCCACCCATTCTGCCCCTGTACAAGAAAAACAGAAAAATAACGAAAAGACCACTAAAGGAAAAGATATTCAGCAAAGCCCTCTTACCCCCTCGGTGGACGTTTTAAACTCACACACAAAATCTAAGAACTAGGAGCAGGTGTAGACCATTCAGCCCCTCGAGACTGAACACCATTCAATATGATCATGGCTGATCTCATCTTGGCCACCTGCTCTCCATAACCTTTCAATCTATTACCGATTAAAAACTTGTCTATCTCCTCCTGAAACTTACTCAATGTCCCAGCATCCACCACATACTGAGGGAGTGATTTCCACAGACTCAAGACCCTTTGTGAGAAGTAATTTCTCCTCATGTCTGTTTAAAATCTGCTGTCCCTTATCCTAAAGCCATGACTTCTCATTCCAGATTCCCTCTAAGGGGAAACATCCACTCTACATCTACTTTGTTGCTCTTCCTGAGCATCCTGTATGCCTCAATTAAATCTCCTGTCATTCTTCTTAATGGTGCAAGTGTATTTCCATAGATCTATTCTCCTTGAACATCATTATTTCAGATGGTCTTACATGAGATTTAATGTTAAATGTAAGACAAGAAGTACTTTTAAAGATACTGATTGAGCAAATGCTAAATACACCTTAGTGTAAAGTATTCCTGAAGATTTGATCATGTAACAACTATCAATCAGTTTGTCCTATTTGATTTCAAAACATTTTGTGTTTCTCTTCTCCTTCTCCTCATACTTCTCCTTCTGTACATCTGTGAGTTTTCTTCTCTGTCTTTCCTCCGTCTTCTGTATTTAACTCTTTCACAGTTTGTGTTTCACTTTCTTTCTCTATCTCCCTCTCCCAGTTTGTGATTCATTCTCTCCCTGTCAGCCAGAGTGCGTTTTGTTCTCTCTCTCTCTGTTTCTCTCGCTCTCTCCCTTTCTCTCTCTCCCCTCCCTCCCTCTTTCCCTCCACTTTTCTCAGTTTGTTTTAACCTCTGCCCTCCTGCTCAGTTATGGTACTTTTTTTCTCTTCCCTCCCTCTACCATTTTGTACTTTCTCCCACTCTCGTGAACCATTTTGTGCTTCAGTCCCTCTCTCATCTCTCTATTTGTGTTTTCTCCTCCTCCTCCCTCTCTCTTCCAGTTTGTGTTGTTCTCTCATTCTTTCTTCCTTGCTGGTCTCTCAAATTTGGAATGATTTTTGCTGGACCCAGTGCTACTATTGTCAAAAATGAAACAGTATGTTTCCACGTATTCAGAGAACCAAGTGAACCCATTGTGGTTTGGTTTGGTTTGATTTGATGTGATATATTGTCATGGTTACCAAAGTAAAGTGAAAAGCTTTGTTTATGAGCAGTACAGGCAGATCATTGCAAGCAAGAATGTACAGATCATAAGGTGAAAAAAACTTTGAGGCATACAGGTTACATTCCACAGGGTGTGAGCTAGGCAAGATCAACATTAACAAGATCAGTATTATTTAAGAGTCCATTCATCATTCTGATAACGACCAGTGAGAAGTTGTTCCTGAACCTGTTGGTGCATGTGTTCAAACTTCTGTATCTTCTCCCTGATGGAAGAGGTTGTCGGAGGTCATTACCAGGGTGGGATGGGTCTTTGATGAGGTTGGCTGCCTTTCCGTGGCAGCGAGCCGTGTAAATGGACCCCGTGGTTGGAAGGTTGGCTTCCGTAATGGTCTGGGCTGTGCACGCCACCTTCTGTAGTTTCTTACGGTCCTGGTTAGAGCAGTTGCCGTACCAGGCCTTTATGCAACCAGACAGAATGCTTTGAATGGTGTATCTGTAGAAGTTGGAGAGGGACCTTATGGAAATGGCAAATTTCCTGAGCTGCCTGAGGAAGAAGAGGTGTGTTGTGCCTCCTTGACCGTCATACCTACGTGGCCCGTCCAGGACAGGTTATCGGTTATCATCACTCCAAGGGACTTGATGCTCTCCACCCTCTCAACCTGAGTTCCGCTGATGTAGATGGGTGTGTGTTCTCCTCCTTTCTTTCTGAAGTCAATGATCAGTTCTTTAGTTTTGTTGACATTGAGAGAGAGATTGCTATCATTGCACCATGACACCAAACCCTCTATCTCCTTTTACTGTTTTGACTCATCTTTGTTAGATATCCATCCTACTACGGTGGTGTCATCAACGAAATTGTAGATGGCGTTCATTCGGAATTTGGCAACACAGTCACAGGTGTACAGGGTGTACAGTAGGGGGCTGAAGACACATCCTTGGGCAGCTTCAGTGTTGAGTGCTATTGTGGAGGAGATGCAGTTACCCATCCTCACTGATTGGGGTCTGTGGGTCAGGAAGCTGAGGATCCAGTTGAAGAGGGCGGATCCAAGACCAAGGTCACAGAGTTTTGAGATCAGTCTGGAGGGGATAATGGTGTTGATGGCAGAGCTGTAGTCAATGAGCAGGAGTCTGACATAAGAGCCCTTTTTGTCCAGATGTTTCAGGGATGAGTGCAGGAAAGGGATATGGTATCCGCTGTGGACATGTTATGTCAGTAGGCAAATTGTAGGGGATCGAGATAGACTGGGGGACTGGAGTTGATGTGGACCATGACCAGTCTCTTGAAGCACTTCATGATTATTGAGGTCAGAGCCACTGGGCGGTAGTCATTAAGGCACATCACATGTGTTTTCTTAGGTATGGGGATGATGGTGGTCTTCTTGAAGCAGGTGGGGTCTTCAGCTTGTAGTAGGGAGAGGTTGAAGATATCGGTGAATACCTCTGCAAGTTGGTCCACACAGGACGTGAGTGCTCGACCAGGGATACGGTCTGGGCCCATGGCTTTCCTTGGGTTGACTTGCAGGAATACCGATCTGACATCTGCAGTGGTGACAGTGGGCACAGGGTTTGGTTTGGTTTGATTAAGTGCAGGGTATATATTGCGTATCGAGAAAGACCACTTCTCCTAAGTTACTAGCAGCTAGACTCCAGCACAGAAACAGGGGAATTGGTGAATCTATTGAAACAACATTGTATTGCAATTTTTAATAAATGAAGATGAAGCCTCAATTAATTGTAGATAAGATGTGTCATTGAAATGCATTATGTATTTGACAAGTAGTAAGACATAATTGTTGGGGTGAGAGTCAGTGCATATCACAGATCATGCTCTTAGCATATCATATCTGAGCATTGGAAGGCAGTTAAGTTCTACTGCTATGACTGTATAGGCTCTCTGGATTAAATGGAAGATTGTTGGACATGCACCAATTGTACTGTTGCTGTCACATATTGTTATTAGTTCTGATTTACTCTGACGCCATGGGCTGTTATCCCATTTAGCAGCCTCCTGTGCGGCACCTTGTCAAAGGCCTTCTGGAAATCTAAATAGATCATGCCAACTGGCTCTCTTTTGTCAAGCTTGCTGGCTTGTCCTCAAAGAATTCTCACAGATTTGTCAGGCATGACCTTACGTTGATGAAGCCATGCTGACTCAGTCCTATTTTGCTATGCACTTTCCAAGTACCCTGCACCTCATCCATAGTAATGGACTCTAAAAGCTTCCCAATGACCAAGATCAGGCCAACTGGCCTGCTGTTTCCAACCTGCTGCCTCCCTCCCTTCCTAAATATGGGTGCTACATTAGTCAGTTTCTAGTCCTCTGTGAACATCCCTGACTCTAGCAATTCTTGTAAGATCACCACCACTGCCTCTACAATCTCCTCAGCTATCGCCTTCAGAGCTCTGCATTAGACCATGTGAGCTATAAGGAGAGGCTACAAAAACTCAGGTT